TACCGTGCTGAGCATTAATTTGTTGGTATTTCATAATGCTCAAAATGAGGATAAGGTGGCCAACTTGGGCTGTTTGGTAAAATGGTTGTAAAGATGAAGAATAAAGTGGTTGATGAATTCAGTTAGGGGCAATAGAACCACTGTGGATTCACTTTGCTCATATGATAGTCTTATAGTTGTGTGTCAGAACATTTTTACATAATTTTTACAAGTCATATGAGATAGGCAAGTCTTATTACTACTATTGTACTGAAGTGCAAGTTAATCTCATGCCTGCTTAGATTGTGCAGGATGTTTAGGATCTAAAAGGGGAATTAACTGAGATTTCCTGTCTACTAGGGAGCAATCCAGCAACACCCTCATCCTTCTTTTGGGGGATTCCCAAAGCATATATAATCCCAGCACACTATGCGGTACTTTTGGGATTTACTGCACCTGGTTTAATAGCTAGAGTTTACCAGCTCCTGTCAAATGTCAGATTAAGATTGTCTCGAGTTTTCTCAGAAGTTGCATTATTTAATTGTACAAATGTAGCTGTGCCTTCTATCTCCTGAATACCTTTTCTTAAATAGTGGGGAAGGACATTTTTCAGAAGTTACTTTTTATATTTGTCATTGTCATGGCTTCCAGTGACGACTGTGTCATTTTATCTACAGTGCCTTCTTAGATTCAGAATGGGTAGCACTTTGTCAAACAGCAAACATTTGTATCAGCAATTTAAACATTGATGCTTCTTGGAAGCCCCAGTGTTTGAGTGGTTAAGCATGGAGAACTTTGTTTTACAAAATAGCTCACAGTAAATTTACAAATTAATATTAAGACAATACGTACCCGGCACAGTGGTAGCAAATCACTTGGTAGTCTGGCAGTAAAAATTGCTATTGGCATTTGGGAAGGGCATGTCATGGTCTACCAGCTCTCCTGAATGAATCAAAAGCTGTCTTGCAAGGACAGACAAGTGACTGGATTTTTAATCTGTGTGAAATGTACACTAAATAAAATGCAGTTTTAATTATCTTCAGTGTCCATTATCTAACTGATTTTTTTTTTTTTTTCCCCAAGGAATTGTCTTCAGATGTAATTGCCATGTTTGTTTTGTTGATTTGAAAGAAATTGAGGCTAACATACTGTTTTCAAATAATGCAACATGCATCTGGAGGATGGTACTTTATGTGATACAAAGTATATGTTAGGAGAGTTGTGAGTGATTATTTGCAGATTTTCATTTGACCTGGCAAGAAGGATGGAATCAGACACTGTTCCAGGGGGTTGCCCTTGGTAAACCAGTTATCATTCTTGTCTGGGGCTTTGTTCTTCTGAATCTCATATAATGTCTTTTGTTTGGAACTGATTGTAAACATGCACAAAATTTTGTACATTTCATATATGAAATGGCAATACATTAACCTTACACACATCTTACCTATGCATGGGTATCATCACAGGCCTAGATTCATAAAGGTACCTGGTATCCCAGTTGCATTTTAGGCACAGTAAAGTATTTCCTAACCTGTAATAGTCATTCATAAAGCCTCTGCTTAGGTGCTATGCTGTTCATAGGCACCATCATAAGTACCAGAGGTATTTTTTGATATTAAAGTTCTGCTTCTATGCTAAAGGTTCATGTGTCTACCATGGGACAAAGGGGGGAAGAGGGAGCAACTTTTTGTGACAAGTGTGTAGTGTTTAGACTACTTAGCACATGAAGACTGTGAGGGAGCATCAGACTCCTAGTGAAATGTTGATTAAGAACATCTGTGTAGCTGCTGTTGATGAGAGAGAGCTCACAGGAGCACAGCAGAGGACAAACTAGCAGAGACTTTGTAGTTGAGGTAGTTTGAGCAGATGGAAGTTTGAAGGGGAACTGGAAACTGCGCCAGACAGTGTGAGACTGCTAGCACTGGTGCAATGACAGTGATGATGTGCCACAGGGAGTGCTCCCCAGCACCAGCTGAACCAGCCAACCATGGCACATCTAGAGGTTTAAACCCGGATCCAGAGGTACAAAGTGACCATCTTTGTCTCAGGCTGCTGGGAGTGAGTGTCAGGTATCTCTCCTGAAGGCTGGGGGGCAGTGGTGGCTTCCCCTATGGGATATGTGCTGTGGCCAGAGTGCTGAGCTGCCAGCTGAAGGAACTGAAGAAGGACATGAGAAAGACTGCATAGCATCAGGCAGGACAAACAGGAGCTTGACAGCACCTTTTAAGGGTCCACCAAAGAGATAAGAGTGCTTTTCTACAGCAGATGGAGGCACCAATCTGTTGACCAGCCTTGCTCTCAAGTGGTGCTGTGACAGAATCAAGACAACACACACAAGCTGAAATGCAAAAAAAAAAAAAAATCTGTTTAAGAAACTCCTTTTTACTGTGAGGGTGGTCAAATGCTTGAACAGGTTGCCCAGGGAGGTTGTGGAGTTGATTTACATGTTTTGGGACTAAAGAGCTAAGAATATCTGCTAACTGTTTTTAACTAGTTGTCACAGTCACATTCCCTTCATATTAAATGTTTTCTTAATTCAGTAGTTTGAAGGCTTTAATTACAGGGAAAAATATCATTTGATTGACTAGAAATACAGATTTTGTTTACCGGAAGATTAAGAAGGATGCCTAAAGGCAGAGTTTGACTGACTGCAGTAGCTTATTTTGAAACTTTCTATTCTTGTCACCTTTATTCAGTTCAGTAGTTGGTAACAACAAACTAGATCATAAAACGTTCTCTGTCCCTGAGGCCATGCCATGCAATATGACATACATTACGTACAGCTAAACTCTCTTGCACCTTCCTTGCCTCATAACCGCACTAAACCAAGCACCTAACCAGGGTGGTTTTATGTTTACTGGGAAGAAGCCCTGGCTCAAGCATTCCTCCAAGTCATGACCAGGGTTTGTCAGTAGGAGTGATAGTTGGCATGTGCTGAAACTGTACCAGCTGTTCTGACAATTGCACCAAGAGCAAACCAGCTCAGACCATATCATGTCAGTGCCTGAGTTCATCCCCTGGTCCTGTTGAGTTTGTACTTCTTAGTTGTAGTCTCTGATTCTGACTGATCTAAATATGCAAAAGTACTTTCCTAGCACAGTTCATTTAAGTTGGTATAAAACTAGGGTAGTACCTTGGTCTGAGTAAGAGAGGGAAAAACCCCATATCATCTCCACTTTAGGTGATATGAGAGGATATATCATGCTGGCTGATGCAGATAAAGAAGCTAATGCTCCTTTGCAGTCTTGCCTCCCAGCAGTTAAATCCACACTCGAAGCAAGGGTGACTGAGACAGTAATGACGACTGTAACTATGGCGTAATTATTCACTTGTCTGTGGCTTCAAATGCTTTAGACAATTAACTGACATTAGGTCAGTTTTGCAGATTCTTGTAGGAGTTCCTTTTAGTTTACATAGGGAGAACTGAAAAGACTGAAGTAATATTACCTATCAATTTAAGCATGAAAGTTTTAAAAATGCAACTCCTGTACCAACTTTTCGGTCTCTCCCAACGGCACACACACACTTTTCTCTTCCTCTGAAATGAAGTACAGCCCATTCACTGATAGTAAACTGATCCTTCTTTTTTGCAAATACATCCTGTCCATACTAAAGAGAGTACTAAATAGTGACACAGTTAAATGATTACTTGCTAGCCTAGGTTAGCCGCACGATGTCTTACTGTAATTTGTGATGATCAGCTGTACTGAGGATGGATGCTGCCATTCTTTTGTTCTTTTTGCCTCCACACAGTGAACTCTGTGAAATAAAATTGTATTTAGCTTCCACTTTTTAAAAAGGCTGGGATAACATGATACTGCTGATATTTTTAAAAGCTTTGAGTAAGTGAAGAAATTCAACAGAATGAGGATGGAATTCATTCCACCTAATTTTATCTGTCTAAAAATTGTGTCTGTGAGTTACAGTAGATCTCTATCATGAGAGGCAAGAAAGGGGAATCTCTAGAGAATGATTCTGAAATATCTAGTGTGGTTATCTCTGAGGGCTGCAGAAGGACTCTCGAGGACTGTCTTCTTTGGAAAAGCAAATGCCATCTTTTGATGGCTGGAAATGCTGTGAACTGAACCTTTGTAAAATGCGTGGGGATCTAAATCTACAGGCTTTTCCCTAGCATGATTGTCACTAGAATCTGCTTGTTCCAGTATGATACATACTTAATAAGTTTCAAAAACTAGAGGACAATTTTGTATTTATTATCAGAATTTCAGGCATATTACTGGATAGATTGAAAATAAAATTTAAATTTTTAAGTTATCTTTAGAACTCATATTTTTAATCCACAGTCAGCTCTCTTCGGGTTTTTTAGATGTGAATGGTTAAATTTTAGCAGATTTACACCAAACAAGATAAACTATGTGATTAGTGATTTGGTTTTGTTACTAGACAGTCATAATTCAGATGATGACATTTTGCTAGTCTGTTAATATTTCTCTCTAAACATTTGTATTGCATTCAAATTAACAAAGTAGTTTTATAGCTGTGTATGAGCCCAGCATTACCTTAATCAAAGCACTGCAGACCTTTTGGTTACATCTATCCCACCATTGTGCTGGCATTGTATAATTTAGTTTTTCAAAATACTTTATAATTATTTTGAAACTTTAAATTCTATAAAATAGTTCTAAAGACAAAAAAACAGGTAAGTGTATTGTTTGCAGTAAGGGATACATTTTTTTTTCTTTTAACTGTATAATGTCACACAGTTGTGAAGGGTGAGATTCTGTCTTCAGATGCTTATGAGCAATTTATGTTGCAGACAAGATCTGTATTATCATTGGCAGGGACAAGAAGGGAAGCTGGGCTCTGAACACTGGAAGAGGAAAAAGCTAACACTGAACACAAAATTGTCTTTCTGATTGATCCATGCATTTCTGTAGCATGAATATTTTCCATCCATGAACATTTTTTATTTGCATATTGGGAGGCTGAACAGTTAAATTCAAGTAAAATGTTAAAAGCAGATTATAATTTCTTGTCTTTGTCTGTGTTCTTTTAAATAGGAACAGATGTCTCAGGTGTTAGATGCAATGTTTGAAAAGCTGGTTGAAGGAGGGGAACATGTCATTGATCAAGGGGATGATGGTGACAACTTCTACGTCATTGATAGGTGAATTCCTATGTCTTATCACAGCACAAAGTATTATGCAAAAGTCCATTGAGAAAAATCTATTTCTCTACATACTTCTATTTAGCTCTGACATATGTTTGCATGGGAGAAAGAAAAAACAACACATGTTGAATTAGTACAGTTCTGTCTGAGCTACAGGGAGTGGTTTTTGAAATGAGGCAGATTTTTCATATGGAAATATGTCCCTGTCCTCTTTATGAATTGCTAGATCCCAAAGGCATGTCCTATGATGAGTGACTAAGGACTTTGAGCTTGTCTAGTTTGGAGAAAAGGAGGCTGAGGAGTCACCTCATTGCTCTCTACATCTTCCTGAGGACGGGAAGTGGAGAGTGAGGTGCTGAGCTTTTGTCCCTGGTATCCAGTGAGAGAACAAATAGGAATGGTTTAAAGCTGCACCAGGAGAGGTTTAGACTGGATGGTAGGAACCATTTCTCTATCAAAATGGTAGTCAAACACTGGAAAAGCCTTCCTAGAGAGTTGGTTGATGCTCTCCAATCCTGTCAGTGTTTCAAAGGCATTTGGATAATGCCCTTAACACGCTTTAGCTTTTGGTTAGCCCTGAAGTGGTCAGGCAGTTGGACGAGATGACCACTGTACGTCCCTTCCAACTGAAATATTCAGTCAGAAGATTGTAGAAGTATGTCATGATTCTTTTCTGAAGAGTCAATGTTTTTCAGCTTTGTGAGGTTACACTTTGTCATCTCTTATCCAAAAAGCTGCAGGGAGTTCACAGTATTCTGTCAGCCTTGCAGTTTTTAGGTGCAGTGAATCACTTCTAAGTCCCTTATCAATGAAATCATTGTACAGATTTTTGCATTACATTCACATGATTTATCAACACGTACTATACAAATACTCAGCGCTGAACAAAATAATGGCTCAGCATCAATGGGAATGGCTATGTCATGTTTTACAAGATACCAGATTTTACTGCATTCCTAAAGCAAAAAAATTACTAATTTAATGATGGGGAAAAGAAATCCACAACATATTACATAAATATATATCTCTATTTCATCATCTTATGTTGCTTTTCATATACATTTCTTGGTTTTTGCATCTCCTCTATTTATTACAGTATAAATTACTTCTTTAAAATATTTTAAATGTTAAATAACTTTCATTATTATTTTTGTGATCATATAGCAATTTTTGCAAAGACTTGTTACATTTGTATTTAATGTGCTTAAAATGAAATTAAGAAACAGATTTTGATTAATTTTTTATTAGTTCTGGGGATCAATAGATCACTTTACACCCAGTCTATCTTTAAACTGCATTAATGTAAAAACTAATAACCGTATCCTTCCCTTTAAAAAGGAACTACTTTTATTATTTATGGAAGTAATTGAGATGTCTCTGCAAGATGTTTAATAAACAAGCAAATGTATGTTTCAAATGCTTTCTCTTTGGAATTCATGCAATGAAAAAAACATTCTGAGAGGCTGCTTAGCAAAGATGAGGACTCAATTCTACTCACTGTATTTATATATTTTATTAACAGAGGTACATATGATATTTATGTAAAATGTGACGGTGTTGGGAGGTGTGTTGGAACCTATGATAACCGAGGAAGTTTTGGTGAGTTGGCCTTAATGTACAATACACCCAGAGCAGCTACAATTATAGCTACCTCTCCTGGTGCCATCTGGGGTTTGGTAAGTGAAATACTTGTTTTAAGATATTACTTGTTTTAAATACTTCATGTAAATGGCACTGGTATGCTATATCAGCATTTAAAAAATGAATTATAATTGAAGAAAGTTTAATTTTAAAAATTGAGAACTCCCAACACAATAGTGTCTTTTTCCAGAATCTGCAGAAGCAAACCTGAGGTTAAAGAAAACACTGAGTTTTTAAAAAATCTTTGTTCTCTTTTAATGATAATTTTCCAAGTTGCAAACCACTTGACAATTACTTAAGACACATATATAAAATGTTTTTGCTCATCTTGATAGGAAATACCTTTGGTTCCAGAGTTAAATTCGAATATTAGGTTATTTATCACTGTTATACTATCTGGATCTTTGGCAACAGTAATATAATTTATCAAAAGAGTAAAACCAGGATAGCCATCTTCTTCGAGATGTACATATCAATCTAATGACTGATCCCAACAATAACATTTTCCTGTAGAAGTGAAACACATGGGTTTGCACCAACTTAATCCATATGACTTTTGGGCTCATGGCAGAGTTTGGGACACTAGAGGAATGGCTTTAAATTGGATTGGGTTGTACAGGCCCCAAGTCCCACCTGTAGCAGCAAAGGCTTGGAAAGCATTTCAGCTCTGTCTGTCACCAGGACACAGTCATATGATGTTAAGAGAAGAAAACCGCATACGTGTAGTTTTTCCATCTGTCTGCTTCACTTGGATTGCCAAATGCTAAGGAATGTCCAGTTGGCTGTTTAGGGCAGCAGTGAATCATGTTCTGCTGAAACAGCAGAAAGTGGACTGCGACCTAAGGCCCAGATCCATGTATTTTGGTTTTGTTTGTACAATAATATAAAAACCTCTTTGAGTACATATCAATATGTATGAGACCTCAGGATAATGAATAAACTTTGTAAATTAAATATTGAGGATTCCTTAAAGATCTTAAATTACCCACTCAGCATTCATTGTGTAGCCAACCTGTTTAGTGTAAACTCTCTACCCTCTGTATGTGAACGCTATATGATTTCTCTGCCTGCTTTTGACATGAATCATATCAGGAGCTTAACTTTGAGGAGCTCTTTATCGACCTCTAGAGGAATCTTTCTCAACTGACTGTATGGAAGGACTATGCAGCTAGCTTGATGGATACATTGAGTGACTAAAATTGGTTAATTTTAACATGTTCAGACATTTCTAAAGTATCTTCTACCACAGACATATTTTCAGTTAATAAACTCTTTCTCATTTTGTGTTTACAGGACAGGGTAACATTCCGAAGAATCATTGTAAAAAATAATGCCAAAAAGAGAAGAATGTATGAAAATTTCATTGAGTCATTGCCATTCCTTAAATCTTTAGAAGTAAGATTTCTATTGCATTATTTTAATGGCTGTATCAGAGGTACATGATAAGATTCTGATTTTGCACAGCTTAAATTTGGAATTCAACTTTTTTCCACAATAAAATTTTGCATACTTTTGTTTTGAAGACCATATTTTTGTTATTTCTAAATTTTCAGGATATAGAACTATTGTTAATATTGTATTTTAAAAAAACCTAATTTTTTTACTTTTACCTTCATTTTCTTAAGCTTAATTTTACTAGATAATAGCCAATAAAATTAAACTCCTCCTTAGGAAATTTCAGAATATTTTAATTTAACAGTTATATATTTATATGCATGCTTTTCTGAAAATAATTTTTGAAGACTTGGGATATATCGATGTCTTACAAAAATGGAAGGTCTGTCAAAATATCTAGCTGTTAAGACTATAATATACCCTCTGAAACACTATTCAGGAGTTCTTTTTTTAATGATTATCAAAACAGGAAAATAAAGATACTATTTTCTACTCTATACTATTCTATGCAAAGATTCATGAAATATGAAAGGACTTCTTAAATATAATATTGTAATGTTAACCAAATATTTCTTACATTTTCTTTTTTTAAATGAAGGTATCTGAGCGTTTAAAAGTGGTTGACGTGATTGGCACCAAAGTGTACAAAGATGGAGAACAAATAATTGCTCAGGTAGAGTTTATTTCTAGTTTCAGTTTGTCTTTTCCAATAGGTAACAATTATCATGTTATCTATTTACAATACATACTTTAAAACTATGTTTTTCTTTCTCAGATGAAACAAAACCCATGAATCTTGCATCTAAGGAGGTGGTTATTTTGTTTCAGAAGCTAGTTTTTCACTTACAATACTTTGAAAAATAGTCCTCTTCATTGGTATGAATAAAGGAGTCAACATTCTTAGTATACTCAGAAATTCAAACTATATAAAAGAATGTTTGCTTCCAGTAAGGAGCACTGAAGACTTAGCCTTGGTTTTGTTGATAAAATATGATAATCTTTTGAATAAGAAAGCAGAATTAAACTCTTCTGGGTAGGCAACTGAGTTTGTCTTGCCCCAGAATTATTACTGGATGTCAGCTAGCCCTTGGAGACTTTTTATACTGAAAACTCTATACATGAAGTTATTTGGAAGGAATACAAAGGTGCAGAAACAGGAGTAAGGATCCTAAAATCTTCCATAACATTGTTTTTCTCTGCTTTTTTATAAGGCAGTCAGCTATGCCTTTTCATGAAGAGACCTTGCTGTCAGTTCTGTCTAGATGTTTTGATTATGTGCCTTAAGTATGGTTTTCACATTGAAAGTGATTTCTTCTGCCACAGGTATCAAAAAGATGAGCTTCAAGACTCTGGCTGCAAATATCTTAATGTTACCATGAAACTAAAAAGGAAATTTCACATTTCCTGTACTGATTTTATTTTTTTCTTTTACAGGGTGACTTGGCTGATTCTTTCTTCATTGTGGAATCTGGAGAAGTAAGGATTATAATGACACGAAAGGTAAACATCCCCAAAACACAGATTTATTTTATTTTTTTTTTAGATCTTGATGTATTCTAAGTGTTAAACAGTAATACTACCATTGTTACTATTTTTGCTTATGCAATCCTGAGTTCAGCAAATCTCTCATTCTCTGTCTTCCTTTCTTTTTTTAACCTGATATTTCAGGGTAAACAAGATGTAGAAGAGAATGGAGCAGTTGAAATAGCTCGATGCTCAAGAGGACAGTATTTTGGAGAACTTGCTCTTGTAACTAACAAACCACGAGCCGCTTCTGCATTTGCTCTTGGCACTGTCAAATGTTTAGGTATTGTACAATAATATTTTATATTTAATATAAAATGATACATAATATATCTGGTTGTTTTTCTTGTGAACTCTGTCTTTCTCCAGAATATAAGATTTAATTACATTTAAATTTAAGCAGAATATAAGATTTAATTATATTTAACCAAATAAGACTGCTTAAATACATCATCTATTACCATGCATTCCTATTTACATTATTTATCTGCAAAAATTATTTTTGATTGATAACTGGTTTTAAACACAAATTCTCCAATGTTTCTTTGATTGCATGGAAGTAAAAATTGTTTCTGGACAGCACAGAGTATTGCTGCAAACCATTTATAGATATCGAATAAATGTCTAGTGCTCTGCAGAAAAGTAAAGTATTTCCTCAGTAGACTGATTCTCATCCAAGAAATAACTGGTAAAAATTCTGTCCCATTTTATCACCATGACTTAAGCCTTAACAAATTCTTTGTGTTCACCAGCTGTTAATTTGTTAATTCTGTCAGACTGTAGTCTCAGGCACAGGAAAAGCAAAGACCATAGGAGTTGTGCTTATAGACAATCTTTTGCATCTATTGCTTTTCATGGTCTGATGTTTAGCTCCTAAATATTTGCATCTAATTGTGGGAAAACAGTAAAGACTGATTTGGCATTCCTGAATGACAGTTTGATTGCAAAATCAATAACCAAAAAGTTTCCCACTAACTTATAAAGGTATCCTTATATCCAAATACACAAAGATGATCACACAATAAAGATCAATGACAGAGAGGAAAGGATAAGGGGCAATGGTGAGGAAGTGTGTCATTACCCAATATGGGTGAGTCACTAAGATCTCCGGCACTTCCCAAATAGCAGAGGTCTTGAACTTTTCTCAGGAGCCAAGAGACTGCAGGCCACCAGGATGGAAGCTGGTTAAAGTATGAAGTTTCCCTGGCCTATCAGCTAGAACTATAGATGGTAACATTATGTGATCAGGTAAAGAGAATATTCTAGTTGGCTACACATTGACATTGCATGTGAATTACTATCTCCAACTTTTCATACATTTGATGGAAAATAAGTATCTATTACAATTTACACTGGGTGGAAGAAAGTAAAAATAGCAAGGAAAAACACTAAGTTAGACCCCAAATACAGCCAACAACATCTGCAAAGGATGTATTTTTTTTTAAGTCTCAAGGGTCTTAAAACTGTTATTCTGTGGAGGAATCCAGGCCCCTCTAGACTTCTTCAGCAGCTCTTGGGTGACATAAATCTGAATATGAAAATATTTTAAAAATAAGAAATGCGACAAATTCTAAGTTTATTCATGAAGTTTCAAGACAGCAATGTGTTGGTTGATCTTGACTTTGCTATGGTAAATGGTTCTCTTCTGTGCAAAGTATATGCCTCAGTAGTATCTGTCCTGTTATCGTTTAAAATTTTACATTGGAATGTCATAAACACCAAGATTAGTGTCTGCAACTGACGAGCATGTTATATTCTTTCTCTTTCTCTCTCCTTTTATCTTAGTTATGGATGTGCAGGCATTTGAAAGGCTTTTGGGACCTTGTATGGAAATTCTGAAAAGAAACATTGCAAACTATGAAGAGCAGCTAGTTGCTCTGTTTGGAACAAACATGGACATTGCCGATCCCAGTGCATGAGCTAAACATTGGAGCGACAAGATCTGTTATGAGAATATAGCACAGTAGTGGTTTGTCCACTGAGAAATTGTCTCTCTTCCTATAGATGCCAAGCATTTTCTGTGATTTTAAGAGCGGGTTTGGGTTTTTTGTTTTGGGGTTTTTTTTGACTTATTACAGTGGAAATAATAGTAAACAAAACAAGAATTTAATAAATTGTGGATTTGATTTTTGAAAGTGCTTAGCACTGATGGTTCTATCTGTCATTAAGAAGACCCATAGTAGCATAGCACCTTTGAAAAGCAAGTCCTTTAACACAGCATTTCCTTAAAGAGTAGATTACAGAAAATCCACATGCGATAAACTTGTTAAACCAGCTTCTGTTCTTCAAAAAGGTTACAACTTTTCGGGAAAGACTGTTAGTTTGAATGTGATATGTTGAAAGTATTAGTGCACACAAAGTGTTTATATGTATTAATACAGAAGATATACAGTAGATATTACTTTCTGACTATTACAGTTGTCATGATTTTATGTTGCATTTATCACAGATGTAGTGAATCACAAGATTAATCGTAAGATAAAGCATGACAATGCGTTTTGTGTAACGCTCATGACCCAAATCTGATTTTTAACGTTTTGTAATTTGTTTTAAAGTCCTCTTCATTTAATATGTCATGTTTCAGCACGACATTGTAATATCTTATGCAATTTAGAGGACTTGTATATTTTTGCAATAAATTGCATTTTTTATTAGTTACATGTATTCTGTACAGTCTAGAGTGAGGACAGCTGACAAATTAACCTTAATGCTTTAAAAGCAAAGGCATAGGTCATTGTCATGTTCTACCTAATCATACATAACCTATATTGTTTTCCTTCTTCCTTGTTTTATATTTATGCATTTTTCTTCTCTTTTTATTTTAGATCTTTTTTATCTGTTAAATATTTTACCTATTTCAAATTAAATGATTTCTGTATATCTCTCTTCTTGCAGTCTAATCTTAGCTATCAAAGACCGGATTCAATTACTGAAGTGGTTGATACCAAAAGCCATGCTAAACTAAGCTTGTCCTTGAAAAATCCTTATAAGGAAGTAAGAAAAATTTTTTTAATTTAAAAGATCAATACTTCAAAAGCTTTGCACAAGTCTGGAAAGTATGTAGTTGTTAAAGCTAACATGTCCTGCTTTCAAAAACCTGTAGGTCACCAAAAAATATCTTTTTAGTTATAATAGCATGGGATACATTCTGAGACTGAGGAGAGAGAGTATCATCTTAATTAGGAGCACAGGACTCATTGCTTACAAGGGTCTGTGACTGGAAATTTCAGGCACAGTCCAATTTTAATACTGCTTATTGACCTATCTGTTGATGTACATGGAAAGTTAGTGCACATAATGGTAACTGGCAGTAGTTCTGCCAAAATGATACTACAAGAGTTGTAGGAAAGCTGCTTGTGCCCTGTCCCAAACACCTGAATTAGAACATCTTTCCTTCTTAGATAATGACTTTTCTAATGCCATATATTTGTGTATGTTGATGTCATTATGATCCTATAGTTAGTGATATGTTCTGACAATTTATATAATCATACCTGTATATGAAATTATGATTATATAATATTATAACAATATATAATTTATATCATACAGTATGGTATAAATTATAAGTCAGATTCCTAACAAAATACAATCTGGACAAAATGACAAATTTGGGTTTTTTAAAACTTAGAAACCTGGTACGAATAATTGCACATATGATAACTTGCCTTTGTACTTTTGATTTATGGAAAAAAGAGAAGCCTGTTATACTAGAAGGAAATATGAGATAACCAAAATCTACACTCTTGTCATTCTGTATGCTTAATCTCTAAAAGCTACCTATATTTTGCACTAGCTTGATGTGATTAAGAAAAATGCTAGAAATTACTTGTATGGCAGTAAACTACAATCAAGGCCATAAATGCCAGTCACGATATTTTCAATATTGTTGGTTATATTTAAAGTTTCCTTACAATAAACAACACTTTTATATATAAAAACCTATGCTTATTGATATTTTTGTTTTAATTGAATTATCATAAAGTTACAAGTGACCTGTTTATATTCACTTGGTAAAACACTCATAATTGACACTCTCACGTTGATTTTCATAAATGATGTTATGCAGATGCTCTGTCGACTCAGAACAGACAACATGTTGGTGTGGGAATTGTCACAGCTACTTTGTATTTGATGATTTGCTTGTAGTTTATAGCTGGAAAAAAGCTGTGGAGTGACAAATTTAAGATAAACAGAGACTTTGGATTTTCTGAGTCCCAATGTACAGCTTCATGTTTCAGCATATTTACTGTGTTGCTCTTGGGGACTGGATGATTTCTGAATTTCTTTATTGATGAATTCAGGGGGGGTTAACCAACAGTAATAAATTGTTGCTTTGTAAGTTTCATTCAAATCATTATATTCTTCATCACTCAGCACTTGAGATTTATCCTGCATCTATTCATATGTACACTTCAAACATGCCAGTCTGTGTGTCATAAATACGGCAAATGTTCATCCTAAGAAGGAAATTGTACCAAGTCACTGATTTTTAATGACCTTTCAAAAAAAGGCAGATAGTTTTAATAATTTTAAACAATACTCTATCATGTTTACCTGATGAGACTGTATCCATACTTAGATTACCTGATGCTTCTGTTATTAAAGATTTTTATCATCCTTGTTTGTAGTCAGGTCACTAAAGGAATGGGACTTTGGCAATTACTTGGCACAGACATGTTAGTTTGTTTTTCTCCTCTCTCTCCAACCTCACTATTGGTTTATAATTCTGCAGATGATTTAAATGAATTTGACAGATGCTTAAGTTCTAAAGAGGAAAAAAAAAAACCAAACACAATTGCTCCAATGAGTTTGTGGTAGACCCCACTGTGTGAGGAGAGAAGATCCTGAGAAAAATCCTGTAAAGAAGGGCATTCATGGGCTGATGTTAGTAAGCAAAAGAGAATCCACATGGCAGAAAATGTTTACAAATGCCTTAACTGTGGGAAAATAGATTTGACTGCAGTCCTCAGCTGATCACAAGACACAAACCCTGAGGAAAGCAAGCTTCCTTGGTCTTAGTGCTGGTGCTGTTGCTTTTTAAAAGTCATTTGTTTGTGTTTCATGAGATTTCATTCAAGTTCATCTGGAAGATAACACTTCTGAAATCATTCCCTTCTGGATCTCCTGTTTGAAGTCCAGAAGTGACCAATTGCAGAAGTCCTGGGGCAAAGCTGTGAAGAACATTGTGAAATCATCTGCAACCTAAAGCACTGTCACTCCATCTTCTTTCCTCATGTTGTCTTTTTTATTCAGTAAAGACTATTCTGGTCCTTGCTGGAATAGTGGGTTTGGTTTTGATTTGATTTTGGTGGTTTTGTTATGGTTTGTTTCAAATGTCTGGTGCTTTAAGCTTTCTATAAGGTGACTGGGATAGTTCTATCACAATTTATGTCATTTTGTAGTTTATGACACACTTTCCATGGCAAGCATTATTGTTTTTCAATATCAGGAGTTCCCAGATGTGTAAAATCGGTATCTGCTGGTTATCCTTCACAGACCTGGCACATCAAATTCCTAGTCTTTTTTTCAGACACTCCATCTGATAGCTTTTGCTGAACAAAGTGCTTTGCTGAAAGTCAGTTTGCCACAGTGTGGACATTCTTACATGCTCTTGCTAAAGTCTTTGTTAGTTCAAAGCTCTTTTAATCCATTCCTACATGTGATGGTTACAGGTATCTATTTTTTTTGGAGTTTCTAAGATACTTCCCTGTGTCTGTAGTTCTCATATAAGTATTACTGCAGTTTTCTCTGGGAGGAATTGCCTCTTTGTATGCCGAGTACGCACAGATCTGTGCTGTTGAGCGCCTTAAAAAATTTAGAATCATTTTCAAATCATTCTAGAGATTGTACTTCCTTCATATATATATACCAAGGCTGTTTCTAAGTATTTAATCTACTTTTTGGGTCAGAAAGATGCTTAACAGGCTGGACACACTTAATGCATGGACTGAAGGGAAGCTGAATAATATTTGTAGGATGTGAAAGCCCAAAGAAAATTACATTTTAACACTGTCTCTTCCTTCACCCCTCTAAATTATCTTTATTCTGACAGCCAGGTGAAGAGCCAGCGGCCGTAGGGCGATGTAAAGCAAGTGGAGTGACTGGCTGGGTCCTTGCTGGGGTGCAGTGGTCTGGCTGACTGGGCAGTGACTCTCTCTTCCTCATCCCCTTTGTCTTGTCCCTGTCCCTTCCACGATGGCAAATCAAGCTGAGCTGGAGTGCAGTAATGGCATTGCCAAAGCTGTGTGAATACCGTGGGTAGGGTTGTGTTTCTTCCTTAGAACTTGTAGAGGTATATGTGTGTATAGGGGAACAGGAAAGAGACAAAGGCCAAACTATTACATAAAAGAAACTGTTCCCAGTCAAAGCTGTGTGTAAAACTCTGACACTAGGTTATACTAGGCCACTGTGATAGTGTGTGCTGACACAACCTTTTCTTATTGAGGTAAATTAAATTAGGATGGCCTAAAAATAGCATCATGACATGGTATGAATACTTTGTCCTTTCTTCTTTGAAGATATTGAAATATTTCATCTGAGCAACTATGAAGTTTTTGGGAAAGGATAACGCTCTGTGCCGGTCTCTGTGGAGGACTAATTCCCTGGCAGCTGAGCAAGCCTCTGGGACCCATTCTCCCACATCTCTGAAGATGCTGGAAACTCAGTTCTGATAAATATCTTATTTGAAAAAAGCCATCCAACTATTCACCAAGCTATATCTTCTTTTTCCCTTTGTTGCTTTACCCTGGTGGAGTCAGGTGGTGTGACTATCTTAAGCAACCTTAACTTCACTGTACCTTTAGGCTTTGGCTGCATCTGTATGGTTATATCCATTGTAGGAAATTTTATGTGCCTGAGACTACAAACTAGTACTGAGGTATTGAATGACCAACATTCATACTGTTCTCCAGTATCTGTGCGGGCTCATTTACAAGCTGTCTTGGAAGCTTTTTTTCCAGCTTTCCATATGGGGTGGCCATACACAGATGGCCAACTGAGAATAGTCCTTGGCCTATGGCAGCTCCCAAACTGTATATGAAAATTATTTGCTATTGGCCCCCACAAAAACTATGCCAGGGCTTTTCTAAAAAAAACCAAAAAAACAGTACAGATGATTGTATTCCAGTGCCCAGGAACACTTCCTGGCATTTTAATTTATTAACCAGCATAGAGGGAACCTACAGAACATTTTAGTCTATTCTTGACTTGTTTTTCTACAAGCTTTGAGCTGGAATAGAGGGGTTTTTTAATTTGTCACACTTCTGGATTGTTTCTTGATATGTCAGGTCTTTCTTTTTTCCTGAAACTATTGTCATTTTTTTGTCTCACTCTATCTTTGTAGGTGATAAAGTTTAGCTAAAACTGGAATCTGTGCCATAATGACATGAAATAAATTTCTCATTAATTCATGACCTGTCTTGGAAGAAAAAAAAATACCTGGCCTGTTATTTGTTCTGTTTCTCCCCAACTTGAACCACTGCAAGAGGTGAGTGAAGTTTCCATGCTAGCACTCAAGAAAAATTATCTTTCCTGGGAGCAACAAGTCCTCTGTTCCTCTGCTCTGCGTTCCCAACAGCATCCTCTGTGAGGAGATTAAGAGGTGAAACGTGGAGGTGGGCATGCCTAGAGTTGTTAGGAAGGTGGAGAGAGTGAGGCACCGTTGCAGCTAGCCATGGAAGGCTCTGAGAAGAGGGAATGAGTACAAATAGCTTCAGGAGATATAGAAGTCATTGTAAAAAGAGAAAACTGATGTGAGAGGCTCTCGCACAATGGCTGCAGAACAGAGGCTGCTGTGTTGGGTAGAACTGGAAGCTTTGGTGAGCAGGGTTGCTCTGATGTCTGGGAAGTATTTAGTTAATTACTGAGGGTGGATGTCTACATGTGGATGTGAAGGCTCCTGTAGCAGAATTAAAATAATGATATGCTGTATTTTGGAGAGTCAGCAGTAGCAGCTGTGTCGTAAGGGCAGGACAGGAGAGATTAAAAGTAGAGGTAGGCACAAACCTAATATATAATCTATATTTTACTAATATGGCTTTGTAATATGCATTTTTAAAGTCTACTTGTGGTTTCTTAACTTTGTGGCTGGCAATTTTAAGAGGTAAATAGCTAGGATGCAAATTTGACTGTATATTTTCTGTTTGTGTAGTCTCTCCTGCTTCTTGGTAGCCATCCATAATGTGACAAGAACTCATAACTAATACTTCCCAATCCCCCACCTTGTTTTCTACCTCTCTTACAATAGCAGAAGCAACTAAATCAGCACAGCTGCCAACAATGTCCATGTTACACAGTATTGATTCATTCTCTGAGCACCTATTCATTTTGGACATGGAGTAAGATGAGGTAGGGGGTGTGGAGGGGGAGTAATAATGTAATTAGAGACTAGGCCTACAGAGCAAGGAGTATGGCATTGACATAATCTTTATTCTGAAATCTAGAGGATACATATTTGACTTCAACCAAGGGGGTTAGTAAGTAAGCTTTGATACAGTTTTATGTATCCTGCTGTCATCTACTGCATGGACTACCTCCTTTTACTCATATTCTTTTACGTTCTCACTGAGTAAATGTTAATTTACTGTATGCAAAGGGAAAAAGGTAGATTTGAAAATAAGAAAGCTGTTCAATGTCAGATTTTAGAATCCCAAAACAATTCAGACACTCATCTTTACAAGATGGTAATCTCGGTCATAAGTAGGATTCATATTTTTGAGTTTTCTGGATATGTCACAGATGGTATGATATCAAGGATCTAATTCAGCGTGGTATTTACTTGTCTAGACCTGTATCTGTTATTTGGGCCAGTGAATCTCAGAGAACTGGGCTGCACATCTAACGCTCATGTGTAACTTTTTGTAGAGAACTGTAAACCTTCATGGCAAATAGATTTAACATTTAGTTTGGGAAAAACACTCTTAATTTTTGATAGAAAAAGTACATAGTGGTGTGGAAATGTACTCCATAACAAGGTACGAACCTCTAGGCCAACAGTCATCTTCTGAAAAATCTGATGGGGCTTCAGACAGGATTTTATATCTTCTGTAGCTGCTTGATCCAGTCTCTGCACTCTGCACCTTCCACACTGCAGCAAATGGAGCTTTCAGAAGAGTAAACTCTGAGTTTTACCTTGCAAGTGGCTGTACCACAAGCAGAGTAGCTTATTTGCAGAATGGAGGCATCTGCATATACAGGTCTTCTGACAAGACTCGTTCTGGAAATGCAGGGTCTGCAGTAAAATTCATTAAAAACACAGAAGCTTGAGTCTCTCTCCAAAGAGCCTAAAGGCTGTTTAGATGTATAAGGGAGATCAAAAGAGAAAAGGGAGGAAGGAACACAGCTTTAAAGTTAATTTTATTGTGGAGTGGTGTAAAAAAGATGATTCCTGATTTACCAGTTTTCAATTTATTAAAAAATATATTTTAGAGAGAGGATGTCATGAAAGCTTCCTTATATAAAGATTTATCAGTTATTTAGGAAAAGCCTGAATTCTAAACATAGGAAAAATCAGAGCTTGTGGGATGTAAGGTTAGACAGTTGATGTTTTATAATAAGCTGTCTAGTTGCTTAAGAGTTGAATTTCAATATTAATTTTCAGATTTTTCCTGGAGGCATTTGTTTGAATAACTTTTGTGTTTTCAAACTGGGAAAATGATCTGTAAAGGGTTGGCTTGTTATGTGATTAAGCACAGAATATTAGTTAAATTCCATGGCATTGTTTTTTCTACTATTTTTATTATTTTTAAGCTAAACTTGTGCATATGCATATAAAAAGTAATAATTTCCAATTCACACTGCAGAAGATACTGCATGTTTTTGAAAGTAGTGTCTCTCTTCAAACAGTGCCCACAGATGACGACTCTACTAACAGGCAAATTACTACTTCTTGGAAAAGCCAAATCTTAAACTGATGTGCTAATGACATCTGCATACCGAGTATGATGCTAAGTACAATTTCGATGGGTATGATTTTTTTTTTCCTTTTCAATTGCATTACCCTTGTAGAGCTGTGGAAACAATAAAAACAGCATTCCCTCTAGTGGCCACTAGTAGCGTTTCATGGGACGCAAAGCTTGCAGAGAACTCTAAATACGGAACCATTTCTATTTTAAATTGTAAAGTTAACTTCTGCTTATTTTCTCGCACATCTATGTTAGCGTGCCTGAAAGTCAGAACTGTTGTAGACAGCAAATTATAAGAAAAGCTCTGATAGAGGATTTAGGACACATTGACATGATTGGGATGATGTTGAAAATAGGGTAAGGAAGAAATGTTTTTCTTGGAAAAATCCCAACAGTTGCAAATTCTTGAAGCTCTCCATCAGCTTCTAAAATCGTATCAATTATTTCTGAATTGTGCGTGTATTTGCTTGTATCGGATCATGCATAGCATTGTATTTTACGATGAGGATTTGGCCTCAGATTAGGAGTCTATTCTTCTCCCTGCAGTCTGAGGTACTGTGTTAAGTAGGCAACTCTCGTAGCATCTGTAGTCTCATCTCTCTGTCAGTAAAACAGCTGTAATGTCTAAACAAACCAGGATGGTTTGGCAATTAAAATATTTTGGCAATTAAATGTATGGGAATGCCTGGGAAACACTAATGGACTGAGAAACCATTATCTTTTCCCCAGAAACTTTTATTTTGAACCTAAGCCACCGTAAATGTCTTTTTAACGAAACGGGAACGAGAAAGGGGCCGGAGCCATGGGCAGGCGGAGTTGCTGACTCATTCTCTGACCTTTAGCAACTTCCTTTCACCTCTGCACGCCGCAGCCTTTATTTGGCGAAACGCGAGCGGGGCCCGTTTCGTAACAGCGTTTCGGAGCGCTGATGAATGGTGGTGAATCAGGAAAGGTACCGGGCACCCCCGGGCATCGTTACAGGCCGGCACCAACCTGGGGCCCAGTCACCCTCTCCACGCTGCTGCCGTGAGTCAGCGCCCCGCCGCGGAGGCCGCCGCCATCTCGGGGCCCGCGCCTCGCCTGCAGCGGCGAGAGCCAGAAGCGTCCTCCCGCCGCAGGAGACCGGGGAGGCCGCCCCTGCGCTCCCTCC